ACTGATCTTCTGGGCATTGGTAACAATCTGTATCTGAAAAAAAGAAAAGAAAAGAAAGGTCTCATTTTAGTGCTGATTGATAACTAAGTCAATAGACATAACAAATGACAGCAATTGGTAACCAAATTACTGACAATGTTCATGCTTGAGTGTGCTTATACTTTGACTCATACTGAATGCAATATCCTGGTTTCAGTTGTGCCATGTCCACTTAATAATGCATCTTAATATACTAAGTGCTACCTTTCTACAGATCAGATGGAGTTTAAACAAATTAAATTATAGCTAATGAAATCAAATATATAGCTATGTGATTGATACTCAGCCCAAGTAATTATCCCAATGTGTTAGACTATCCCCACCACCAAGAAATCGCTATGAAAATGACTTTCAATTCATATATCAGTTCAAAGACTGCATTTTCATATCAAAGGAATGCACAGTATTTTTTTTTTAAAGGAAGTCTTTTTGTCCAGCCCAATGTATGTACATTGTTGTAATTAAAAGTGAATGCTAAATAGATAGATATAGAGATAGATAATATATAGATTATGCTTTTCTGTGGTATTTTTTTAAATAACCTAATATGTTGATTTCTTTACATATGTTCAGTGCACAAAAAATGTAACCAATTTCCCCATCATTTTTTAAAATTGCAGATTGATGCATCCGTATGAGAAAAAGAATCTCAAAAGACGAGAAATCAAAGAAACTAAACAAAGACATTTGAGAATTCCTGACAAAGATGATTTCACATCTCCTATGAGACTACTATACAATCAGTATGATTTGCATTAGAATGTTTGCTGAATATCAGTCTTTTGGAGTGGACTTCCGGGGTTATAGTGAACTATCATGGCCCCGAATGAGCAGAGACAACAACCATGGCAAAGACCAAAGGACTGACAAGTAGACCAGTCCTATGGAAACTCACTGGATAAGGAGAGGACAGGAGATTACCCATATGTGCTTTAGACAGCTGCTCCTCAGAAGGAGACTGCAGGATAACTGTCTCCTGTGGGTTTGAGAGCTGAGAGACAAAGGGAAGCCATCATGCTCTCAACCACGTTGGAGCCTTTTAAAGGACACTGGGTTCATCAACCTCACTTTCTAATCATTTTTTGAAATTACCTACTTAACTACCTTAAGGCTATTAGAGATCTTCAAAATGACAAATTTGAAAAGCCACCTGGTGAGTTCACTTTCATTCTTGAATAAAAGAAAAATTAAATAGAAACTTAAGAATTTAAAGAATTGGAAATAAATGGCAAAAAGCTACATAAGACACTGATCTAAGAAAGTTACAAATGAATTAAGGCCAGAAAAATTTGGAATGTTAGGACTTTTACTATAAAATTTTGGAAGTAATTGTATAAATAAACAACTTTTCATGGAAACTAAATTGTTTGGTCTATCCTAAGTCAAAACAGAAATTTGAGATGTATTGTCGAAGGCTTTCACGGCTGGCATACGATGGCTGGTGTGGGTCTTCCGGGC